CCTTAAATAAGCCACAGGAAAGATCTGGACCACTGCAGTGTCTGTACCATGGAAAAGAGATCCTTTTATTGCAGAAAAGACCAAGCAAAGCATAAAGTTCTATTGCTTTTTTCTGCTTTCTTGTTATTCAAGAGCAGCTACCCAGCAATATATTGGAGGCAAAACCATAAATATCCTCTTTTACTTTAATTTCTGCTGGTATTCTGCCTCATACTTGGGACAGCTCTCAAAAAAACTCAAATAACTTTGATGGAAACAAATCACAAAAGACAGGTCAGCTAATATGGAAACCTGGGGATGAGTGTCAGCAGCTGCATTCAGATTTCATGGGACACATCCAAATTATCCCAGTGGTCTCAGCTGAGCACCAGTTGAATGGCAGCAGAAAAAACTCAGCCCTAAAAGAGTTGTGTGGCACAGGATCCTCTGTGCAGGACAGTGACCACTCAACAGCAACAACAACTGGTCAACACCAACTCCTGGGATCAGTCTGAAAGGATATCTTATAGTCAAACAGCATAAATTTCCAAAGAGATATTTTTACCTACTGGTTTTACTTATAAAGAATTTATTTCCCAAAGGAAATCATTGCAGATTATCTTGGGAAAAGTTGCCTATGCTGCCATGATATTTTGTTTGCCGTCTGTCTCATGTTCCTCAGAAACCCACACACCATATCCTTCTAAAGGGCCTCCATTTCTTTCTGTTAACCACATTGGAAATTCCTTTTTTTTAACTGACTGACATTCAGAAAACAGCCATACTACAAAGCTTAGCACAGTAAATCAGCCTGAAGTAGGTGTCTCAGTGGACCAGGAACAGTATGAAGACTTAATTTGTAAACTGGTTTCCACAGTCATAAATTAAATTTAAAAGGTCTGGAAGACATGTTCACAAATGATCAACATAACTTAAATCAGCTCCTTTTCAGTGCTGAGATTTAGGAATGTTTGTGGAGTTTTGCTTTGTTGTTCTTATTTTAATTTATTGCTTCCTGCATGGTCACTCAGAGAAAGAAAAAAATAAGGCAGCTGTATACAACTGTACTTCATACTTCAGAGAAAGGAAGTTTCTGGGTTCACAACCAACATTCACCACAGGTAATAAGCACTGAATTACGTGTCTCAGACTTCCAGCTCTGAACTGTTCACAAAAAGCCACTTGCTTTTCAGTGGCAAGACAAAAGTACTCCTAAAACTTTAACAGAAGTCATCAAAACAAAATGGAAAAATTCATCAAGAGCACAGATAGCTTTGCAGGAAATATTATGGTAAGTGGAAAAACATTTAGTAACTCATTGAGTTACTGCAATCTTGACCTCAGATAAGGCAGAAGCTGTTGCAGTTTGAGATTGCTTCTGTTCATACAACACAGGCCACAGCCAAATGATTCTTTCCATTTTGAAAGACTCCAAGGAGTTCCTCATCAGAGGCCTATTGGGGCACAAGGAGTGTTTGCTCTTAACCAACGTGAGGTACTTTTTAACATGCCTGTGGTGTAGCTGAAAAGGAATGGCTGGTTTCAGGTCAGGGACAATCTGGTCCAGCCAGGAATGGTTAAGGGGAAGTAGTTGTACCTCAGTCCTCTCCAGGAAAGTTCTATAAGGAACAGTTCTTTAAGAAATTTTAACCTAAATATTACATGTCCCTTAACCTAGATTTGGGTCATAACCCAAACCACAAGCCTCTGCTTTTGAGATATTTTTGGCTCTCTACAATTACCTTCTTTACATTCCTCCATGACGCCTGAAATCCTGCTGAAAGATTTCACATACAAGGAAAGATCTACCACTACTTTCTCCAGGCTAGAACTTTCTTTTGTATAGCCAGAAGATCAAAGTGAGTTACACATGTGGTTTGTGGATTCCTCTGAGAGCAGAAATATAAACCCAAGTGACCCTCAAACAACGTATGGAAAAGAAACTAAAGGGGAAATGATGATATGATTTTAGCTTGAATGCATCTTAAGGCAGCTAGAGAAACATATGGGAGGATTATATATATATATTCCTACTCCATTATAAACACAAATCTTAAAAAAAAAAGTATTTTTAACTATCACATTTTGCAGATCTAGAAGAACCCCAAAATTAATGTTTCTAATCCTGATCCTTTAATCAACCAGAGATATGCAGACAAAAAAATCTACCACCCAGTAGTTCTCAGCTATTTTCCATTGACCTACTACCATTTCCTCTCTTTGGAATCCCCTATTAAGGCACCTAAAACAGTCATCAATACAGAAAATATTCTCCCCTTTTTTGAAGCTGACAGCTGCAAAGTTGTTTGCTCTTGTGAGCCTCAAAAAAGCTCCAAAACCCCCCAAAAGACACACACATGAAAAAAAACACAAAAAAAGAAAACGAAACAAAACCCAAACAAAACACATGCACACACAAAAAGAAACGAAGAAACAAACTAAACAAAAAAAACCCCAAACCCACCAAATAAAGAAACTGCAAACAAACCAAAACACCAAACCCAAAAGAAATAGAAAAAAATGCTTTGTTCTCAAAGCTTGTTCTCAAGCCCACTAACACCTAATGCAGGGCTCAGTACATTACATTACACAGCTACAACTACTGTTTTTTTGGTAAAACCAAATTAATTCTTACACTTACTACCCATTATCTACTGGAAGATCATCTTCTGTAGCAATTGCTCCTGAACAAAAAAAATTAAGCTTCCAGAATACTGAAGATACACTTGCACAACCTGTGTAACAGGTCTTTGCTCAAAATCCCTTTCTCCGGAGCAGGAGCAGGCTCAGGAATATTTGGGGACCAGAAAACAGATCAGATGTCCAAATAGTTTATTTTAAGTAGCATATTTTTTTAATATGTAGCCTGAAAAAATGTTTCTGTATCATACCATCAAAGAAAATCAAACATGAAGAATGTGTCTTTCTGGCCAAGCCATGTTATCATGTTAAGATTAATAGTTTTCCTTTATATGGTAAGTATTTCAGAGCATAGAACTTGCATAATAACCAGGTCTTTAAAGACTGAGGCTTTTTTAATCTACTGAATGTCAAACATGGGATATTTACCATGTGGTACAAAGTTCCACTAAGTGTTCTTGAGAAAGGGGAGATTAAATTTGCTTCCAAGGTCTATTCAGCCCTATAACTGTTTCTCTAGGCAGGAGTTCTTCCTCTTGCTAAAACTTCTGCTTGCAAGGTTGTGGTCATACACAAATTAATAAGTCAGTGTTGAGCTAATAGATTGAAATAACTGAAGAGAAAACACAAATATACCTAGAGGCTGAAGTTATGCTTGTTATTTCGGCTACCAACACTTTCCATTTTCCTTTTATTATATTTATAAAGAATATATTTTGTAAAGTTCATGAAGTAAAAAGTTAAGGAGGAGATGGCAAATGTTATATTAAAAACATTCCTGTACACCAAACAGCATTTCACATCTTTGTCCCTGTCTGTGCCAAGGGCCTCCTATTAAATAATTTTGTATAAACTCCCTTTATCTGATATGGTCTCTCCATTAAGGAAATACTTCCCACTTGGATGTTTCTTTCTTAGTCTTGCATTTTTTCTAGCTATGTATTGGCAACTTCTAAAGGGACTGCAGAAAGAAAACCAAATAAAAATCTGGCTTATGATGTCCTTGATTAGGACCCATAAAAAGAGGAAATTAAGGATGACAGTGACAGCTTGCTACTCTGTATTCAATTAAGACTGGCCTCTTTGTGGCTATGGTTCATGCAGGATGTGCAGTTATCTAATACGACCCAATTCTAGCAGCAGAACAATTAGAATGCAAAGCATAACTTAACTTAAAACAGGCTCTGGCAGTATTTTTTTCCTTTCCATGTGACATCTTCAGCAGACTTTAAGCAGAAGTCTTGAGATCATATACTATGCTGAAAATGAAAACTCATATTCTGAGCCCAAATGCAGCTTTTAAAATACTTAATGATGTGAAAATGGAATACAATAAGACTGAAGAAAGCAATTGGAGAAGGGCTTTGGTGCCTACACAAAAACCAAAGAAAAATAAGTGCTGTATTTAAGCATTAAATCCTAAAGCTGACTTCTGTTCTGTGGTGAGCTCAAGCCAGGCTCTTAAATCAATTAATATGTCAATTATGTACGGAAGATGGGAAAAGCTCAACAACCACCAACAGTATTAAATCTTTCATGTCTCCTTTTTTTTGAATGACTCACCTCTAGCCAAGACTGTAAGAATCTGGCAAGTTTTTCCTACCTAACAGTAATCATCACCCTTTCTCCCCAGCTGGTCTGCAGGGCTTCCTGGCGAGCCACGCTGCAGAATATAGCCCAAAGACAAGTAACATGCAGATTAAAATACCTTTCTTCCTACACGTTTCCACCCTGGGGCTATTTTTCCCTCCAGAAACACATTCTTAAGCAACTTTTGTTTCACTGATGATAGCTCAGGTACTTCAGTGGCAGCCTGAATGGCAGTGGGAAGGAAACCCAATAGCCAAACAACCTCCATCTCCGGAAGCCTGAGAATTGCCTCTGCCAAGGGCTAATTGAGTGTACTGGAAAATATCACTCTGGTTTGGCCTTATTATATTTTGCTGCTGGTGGCCACTGTCAGAGACAGCTTGCTGCCCTGGACTGATGATTGATTTGGGAACATTCTTACATGTGTGTGCTGAGCTCCTTCACTCTGGTTTAACCATCTGCTGTAGAGGGGAAAGAGCTTAATCCCCTCGTCTTTTCATTTTGGTATGATCAGTATAATTTCATCCCTTCATTCTTAACTGGTAGAACTACCAAAATTCACAGAAGTTCTATTCTTCATCCCAAATTCACTTTATGTTAAATTCAGTATCCCTCAATGTGATTTTCAATTTAAAAAAAAAGAAAAATATACTTAAAAGAGAACATCAAATCAGGTTGTTGGATGTTATCCAGTGATGAGAACTGTGGAGATTTTTGATCATCTCAAACCCAGCCAATTAACAAGCTACAGTGAGAAGCCAACCAAATACTTTTAGAAATTATCTATTTACCCTTTAGTTTGAGGTCCACATTGTGTCGCAGCCAGGGATAAACACCATAATTGGACATATCTTCAGGAATAGGGTTATTATATATCCAGCCATCACATGCAAATCGATAGAAGTTCTCACATGGATCTACAGATTGATTTATCTTGCTCAAGATGCCAGCAGCTGTTAAAAAGACACACATAGATTTTGTGGAACACTTTTTTGTAAATAGAGAATTACAGAAGGCTACAGTCCAGAAGAGATTATTAATGAGAAACAAACAAACAAATAAACAAGACAAAATATCTGCAATGAAGTGCATTGAGTGCCATACAGCAACAATGACTGAACTTAGCACTACATGAACATGAGCCGCTGGAGCAAGACACCTGAAGACAGGCTCTCCATTGTTACCATGGTAGAATTAATTGCCTGAGGAATTTAGTAGTGATACATATTAAGTAGATTGTGATTAGCATTTCAGTAACTAAGCAGTGTTTACCTCTAGTTGAATACTGCACAAGAAAACAAATCAAATTCTGATCTACCATACATTGGAAAATATAATTGTATTTTGTGTCTGCTTCCTTTACCAGTTACTATTGTCAGTGAAAGAGAGATGGTAAGAGAGAGATCAGTCTGACAAGCCCAAGACTCGGTAGCTTTTTGGTTCCTAATCACAAAATCATAGAATAGTTTGGGTTGGGAGGAACCCTTAAAGATCACCTAGTCCAACCTTCTGCAATAAGTAGGAACATCATCAAATTGACCAGGTTGCTCAGAGTCCTATCTAACATGACCTTGAATACCTCCAGAATGGAGCATCCACCACTCTCATCATAAAAATCTTCTTCCATATACCAAGACTGAATCTATCCTCTTTTAATTTAAAATCAAATAAAGTGTGTGCCAGATCTGGTACAAAAGCATCTCTGTGCTTAACAATTCACTTGCTAGTTTTCTGATAACTGGAAAGGACGCAATAAAATATATCTGAAGGTTTAGACACTCAACATTTTTTTTCCTATTTAAAAAAAAAAAAGAAGACCTATGAGAAACTTTGAGTCAACCTAGTTAGACCAGTATTAGACCAAACTAAAACATTAATTTTAATTGTACAAAATAAACAAAACTGAAGCAACTTGAACAGTGACTTTTTAAAAAGTTTGGGGCTGTCATTCTTTCTCCCTCATTAATGAAGCTGAGTAAAATGCATAATGGGAAAAATTAAACTGTATAAATATCTCATTAACATACTATAATCATGATATAATTGAGAGGATAAAATTGCTGCTTACCAGCTTCAATGCATTCTGCAGTCAAACAGTACTGTTGCTTCGGATGAAACTTTATAAGACCTTGGCTAACTGCAAAATGGAAAACCATAATGAGATCATTTGCAATGAATTTTGACAACTGCAGCCAAATGTTGTGTACTTGATTGTTCCAGTATCAGTGCAGCCTCTGGTCCCAGTGCCCCTCTGACTGCAATGATTTAGAGCACTTAGAATGTATATTAAGTAAATATTTAGAATGTTCATTATGTAAATACTGCAGCTTATACAAATATTTTTCTCCTCCTAGTCCTGCTTTCTCCTTTCCCCTCTTTGCTCACAAGTAGCACAGAGCAAGGGCTGTCTCTGGACAGTGCCTGGAGCTGCATCACTTCAGCCCTTCTCACTGACAGTGAGCATCAGCGTGATACAAACAATCCAGCATCGCTATCATCCTCCAGAGCTTGGAAACACAGGAGAATAGAATGGCTTGAGCTAGAAGGGACTTTAAAAATCCTCTAATTCCAATGCTCTGCCATGGGCAGGGACCTTCCACTTGACCAGTTTTCTCCTTCCATGGTTGGAAATGCCACATGGAGCAGTCTCATCACTCTCTGGAGGGTTTCCATGGCTCCCCTGAGCTGCGGGGCTCACACTGCCCTGCAGCAGCACTGCACTGCCCAGCACAGCCCAGCACCAGCAGGACACTCCCAGGGCTTCCTTATTCCAGTCTGGAGCAAAGCAGATTGCAATGGACACAAGGATAGCTGTGCTTTATAAGGCACAACCCAGTTTCAGTCTGAACTGTCTCCCAAAAGTATTGTGTAAGTGTCTGAATTTCAGACACTGCTCTCAGTGTCTTATCTGCAAATATGCAGATAATTGATACTTGGGATTAGGAAGGGAGAATCCCAAGGGATAGGTGAAATAGTTCTCGCTAGATGTGCTCAGCAGGCATAAAGAAATGTCTCATTATATCCATTACCTTAATAACAGTCCATGGTAAAAATAAAAAAAAATCAAGTAACACTGAACAAAAAAACCCAACAATGAAATATCTTATGGTGCCACTGCTTTAACAGAGCTGATAGTGATAAAGCAATTTCTGCTGTAGTTATATGTTGTTCAATAGTGATAGAAAAATGTGAAATATCATTTCAGCCCAGGAAAATTTTTTAACAAAAAGTTCTAAAGCTAGAATTGAATATAAAGCTGATCATCTCTTCCAGTCTCACAGTTTTAATAGCAATTAATGACAGAAATAGCTAGTTTTCAATCTAAATTTCTCAGAAAATAGGAATATAAAACCATTTCTGGACAGCTTCTCCAAAGCTTGCATTGGTTTAGTGAAACACAACACCTCAAACACCTTTGTAAATTAGCCAATAAATACACAAGATTTTGAGGCATACAAAGGTTGTAATTGGAATAGTGAAGAACATGATAAAATAGAGAAGTGAAGATCTCCAGAATATGATTTTGAACCACTACAAAGATGAACTACAAATAATGGATAATGTCCCCTTTAATTAAGTGTTGCACTCCTCCCAGCTCACCTTTTTCCCAGCTTAGAATTTAGCCCTTTAGAATTCATCCAGGTCTTGAATGTTTGCTAAACTTTTTTTCTTAACAAAGCAGAGAAAGGAGGGAAAAGACACCATTTCATTCTTTATCTGTAGCAGCCCTTGTGTTTTTAATACTGATAAATAAAAGCAAAATACCATTTCAACTGGGAAACTTAAAATTTTATCATTAGAACAAATTTTTGGCAGTAACATTTTCATTTTAAGTAACAGCTAATTTTGACAGAAAAAAAAATTCACAATTTTGTTTCTTGCCTTTTTATTGTTAAGATAATTAATCGTGACATTCTTACTTGAAGTCATAGCCCTCAGCATCCCAGCCTCTTCCTTGATAAGCTTGTTTCCATATTCTTTAGCAAATACACACCACAAATGAGTTTAAAAAAAAAAAAAGTAAATCTATAAGGGAAAAGAGACACAAATGTACAGAAGCAAACAATGTGAACGTTTCCTGTGATGTGAGAAGCCTAAAGGACTACCAAGTCAGGAGTAGAGGCTCTCAAATTGAGATTAAAACCTGCCTGACTTCTCAGCCAAGGGAACTGGAGAGCAAACTGTTTCCTCCAAGGAGGAGGTGGCTCCTGTCCTGTCACAGCCCCAGCTCCTACCAGAGTCACAGGCAGGACCCCAGCGGTGCTGAGCCCCTGCCCTGCAGCTCCCCACTGAAATCACAGTGAGATCACAGCCAGCTCGAGTAAGGAACAGTAAATTACAACACCTGATTCTTCCACATCCTCCTTAGACTTGTAGGAGCTATGAGAAGAAAGCAGGAGAAAGCTGCATTTCACTCCTTAAGCTGGAAAATTTATTTCAGGTGTACCAGAAACAGCAAATTTTGCAGACTAAATGAAAACTGAAGAAAAAATAATGTCTTGAGGTGCCTGAAATGTTTCATATGGACAGAAAAAGTTATGTCTATTTCTACAGTTTAATAAAACTAAAAAAATTTGTTTTTTAAAAAAAAGCTCAAGCTTACAAACAAACCATGACTTACACGTCACAATGAAGTGTGGAAACATCTAATTGAAAAAATATTAAACCAAAACAATTTAACTTTTTTTCTTGGTCCTTTAGGTTGAAAATTTCAGACAATTTCCAAACAAATCCTAAAAGCATTTTGGTTGACCCAAGGCCAGAATTTTTACTCAGCAGTTATGCCAATGAAAATTTTGACACTGAATCTATGCCTACAGAACATGCCACAGGCACACTTGGAAAAGTGTCGGCAAGAGTTAATATATTTCCTTGAATTTTCACACCTGGCCTATGGACACGGCAGTTCTGTCTCTGAGAAGCTGTGGTGGTAAATGTCTATTTCTTTTATTGCTCTAAGCAATAAAAAAACAAATCTAGTGCAGGCAAAAAGAAATAAGGTCTCTCCACTATTACTCCCTGGTGTTTATACTGCATTCTTTAAGTGAAAAGCTTTTTTTTTTGATCTTGAAATTTGAAGACTCAAACTCGCTCATGGTTATAAAAAGTTTTATTGACTTCAATGGGATCACTAATACAGAAGTTATTTGCCTGCAAATGTTGCAGAAATTGCTACAGAGCAGAAAAACTCTAACCAATAATGAGCCTGGTGCTTTAAATATTCTATAGAAAACCTGGCATTGTTTTCTATATTGTGACTATAAACAAAGCAGTCCTTTCAAACAAGACCACAAGATCATAAAGGATTGGAGGAAAGAAAAAAATATGCTTAGAGGCAACGTTTCCACCAATCTAGGGAAATCTGTGTCGGTCTAAAGAAACAAAAAGTTGAGCTGAATTGTTCTCAAAGAGGATCAAACTCTGCAAAGTTCTTACAAGATACAACACAGCTTCCTCTTTGGTTGGAGTTTCTAGGCATATTTATACTTCTACACGTAATTTCAGAAGTGTAGGCATATGCTTTCAAGTGTTATTCTAATAAAACCAATCTACAGGTAATTTCAAATCTGGGCGAGGAAAAACAAATTCCTTCTCTGTTGCATCTAGTTACAGTTTATATATCTGATGAAAATATTTCAATTTCATACTAGATGCACTCTTTATGACTTTTGTAAAGGCAACTTTGCAATTCATCACAGAACAGAAAGATCTAAAAAACATGCACACATATGCACTATTGAAGCCTTCTACAGGAATTTTAGTCAAGCCCTAAATGAAAACCAAATGAAGGAAAACCCAAAAGATTCCATAAAATGTGTGCACTACACAGATTCATTTTCAGGAAACACAGAATATTACTCCACATCGGTCACAACCAGAGAATCCGTAATCAGCATAATCTCACCTGTTTCCCTCCATCCTGTGAAAGAACCCAGTTCTGGTCAGAACACATTCAACTGAGTATCCAAATTTAAATTCAGCATTCAAAACGTTACAGGAGTTCACGTTGCATTTCCCAGCTCCAGGATTCCCACAACAAGAACTCCTGTACTGAAACATATCCCTTTCAGAATAAATATAAAAAAGGGGGAAAGAAAAAGAGCCTGAGATTTTCCCCAGAAGACACTGTGAGGCACAAACACCAACACCCAGCAGACAGCCTGGGAAGGGCTATGCTCAGGTTAGTGTCAATGCTTTCACTTACCCAAGAAAAGAGCGGTGCCAAGCACAACAGTGCCACTCACAAAGACACCGAGGGCGATCCGAGTGGCTTTGCTGGCTGCTCCCCTGGCCTCGGGGACGTTCTCTCCTTCCATCGGGATCGCTTGGGACCTACTTGCTCTCGCAGAAGTCTGGTTTTCCCCTGCTGCTGTTGCGTCAGTGTTTCAACTGTTCACAAACTGTGCCCATGAGCTCTCCTCCTCCTCCTCTCTCCTATTTAAAACTCCAGGTTTCTGTCATGAACCATTTCCTAGGCACTTCCTGCTCTCTCCCTCTCAAAGCAAAATCACATGTAAGATAGTAGCTGTCTCCTATGTTTTGCTCTGCCCAGGAGGAGGAAAGGCAAGCGGTGGCCACAGTTTGTGCACAGCCCTTGCTGCCTGTAGAGCCTCTATGAGCCAAGCGCTCAGCAGTCCCCCTTATCAGGGGTTCCGAACACGAGCATTTCACAACGTCGCTGAACAGATGTTTTAACTATTCAAAGAGCTGCACACCCTCTCCAATCAAAGCAGGATTGCTGACAACTTCTACAAACACAAGTCTGATGGAAGGTTTTCTTTTTTCTTCTTGCACTTATTTAAAAAGACTAATTATCTGCTGACTAAAGTTTTCTCTTTTTAAACCATTGCTGCTGCATCATTTGGCTTCACCAGAAGAGGTACCCACTCAGCAGACAAATCCCTTTTTAAAGCTTCCTAAGAACTCTTAGAATATCATGTAGCATTTTATTTCGGGAATTTGGTATGTGACACTGTGTGCCAAAAATCACAGTCGAGCAGCACAAAGCAATAATCAGCACAACCTACAGTAAGAGTCCTGATCTAAAAGCTAGATCTGTTTTTTCCAAGCAAAATATTTCAGTTCTTGCTGGTACACAACACATTTTAAGAGATGATCCTATGCTTCCAAGTCAAGTACTACTATGAGCTTAGTGGAAAAGTATCTATTTGGCACTTTAAGATGGTGGGGGATTATAAAAATAATCTTATTTATATGGATTTCTCAGTGGAGTAGACTTAATAGTCCTCTCTCCATGTAGCAAACATTTCTCCATTCATCAAGTAAAAAAACTAGCCATTTCAGGGTGAATTCTCTGAGCTGAGTGTGACATTCAGCTCTCTGAGGAGCTCTTGCTTTCTCGAGAGCTGGACTCTCATACAAAACATAAGGGTGCAGGGAGAGGTATCTCTATGCTCATGCTCTCAACAACAGTTTATGTGCCTGAGTTACTTACTTTTATGGGGACCTAAAAGTCAGCCCCCAACCATCCTGATAAAATGTTGCACAAGTAGAGAGAAGAAAGACATACATGCGTCACAAAATGTGTGTGATGGCAGTTACCAGTTTGGAGACTGAAACCTTTTTCCATATGAGCACCTGCGCACAAGGTGTCCCAGATGTCACATGGACATAAAGGGAAACCCCACTCCATCTAGAAAAAGACTTAAAGTTTGAAGGTCCTGAAATCATAATTTCTCAGCCTCCTTTACTGCCTTGCTGGGGTCCTGCAAACAAAATGCCCTCAGTTCTTATTCCTGTGCCTCTTCACCAGGAAGCTCCAAGAGGGCATTCTCATTTCTGCTAGGTGCAGAACAAGGAAAAAACATTTGCTCCTTTTCACCCGCCTGTTGTCCCACATGTAAACCATGATTTTGACATCCATCAGCTGAGGCAGGAGATGGAAGCGATCCTGCAGAACCAGGAGGACCACATGCCTCCCAGTACAAAAATTCCCACTCAGGCATGAATGACTCCATGGGTGTGAGGAGATATCTGCTTATAAGAAATACTCAACACAAGACTGTTACCTGTACAACTTTTGGAAGGTATTTGTGTGACATTGGTGCAATTGAGTTCCCATATCAGAAATCACTATGATCTCAAAGGGGCTGTCAAAAGGGCAGGATACTGACCCAGAAAATGCATGGCCATGGTGCAATCTCAACACTTAATCCAGTGTCCCTGATCCAAACGGTGAGTAAACCTCAGAAGGACCTCTTGACAAGTATTTGCTGTTTGATTGTTTTTCCTCTGAACCCAAACACTACAAATGCTGAGCTATTAGACCTATTCATACTGTCAACTTTATGTCACCCCAACCAACATTGAATTATCATATACTTACTCAATTCCCCCATAATTTCTAAATTTCAGTTCTTCCTCCTTGAGAAGTACTATACTTGAGTATGTACTAAACATCATGTTCTATCAGTCTTTCACTAGCAGGATTTTGCTATCATCAAGTGCTGCATATAGGTAAAGCCTTATAAAATAAGGACCTTGTTACCCTTGTAAAATCATGGCTCAGGCCTGCTACTTAGGCTAAGTAGAAGGGAGCTGTGGGAGAGTGACTCAGCTGGAATAGGGGTAGAGAGACATGAGAGATGTGCTGCGTGACTGGCACATGCCCACGTCATGGTGTATGGTGGTTGGTTGACTTGGGCTTGTGCCTTAAAACTATGTAAACTGATAACTGGCTAACAGCTTTAAAAGGCCTGGTTTTTGCAATAAAGGGGCTCTCCTTTGCACTGCCTGGGGACCCAACTTCACCACGATTGATCTCTTTCTAGGACAACATAAATCCAAAAACCAAGAACAGCTTTCCACAGACAAATTAGCAACCAGTTATTTCTCTTTGGAAATCTGTGTCAGGGAAGAGAGAGAAAGGAAAGATAGAGAAGGAGCAGGGAGAAGCAGGACAATTCATTGCCCTCTCCTAAACACAGAAGGTGAGGGCTATGGGAACATGGAGCAACCCCAAAAAAATCCAGCAAGCTCCAGCTATAGGCGTCCTCTGGTGAATCTGCTCCAAGCAGCACCTAATCCTTGTGGCAAGAAAAATCACAAATCAGCTGCCAGCAACAGAATGACTTTTCCATGTTTGGGTTTGTGGGCTTATTTACACTGTGGCACAGCATAAAGTGTCCTTCCCTCTGGCTGCAGAGCCTGCCTGTAGTCAATAACCCGAAGCTGGTTTCTCCAGCATGCACAGAACTATGGAATTACAGCTAAACCATAAACAGATGCAGGCAACAGCTGCAGAGGTCAATTTCTGGCAGAATTTGAAAAGGTGCACAGAGCACATGTGAGTACCTGATACTGATGATCTGTGACAGAAGCCTGCAGAATTTAATTTGTGTTTTTGATGAGCATTCTAGGATTTGGTTGCCTTGCTTATCCCAAGTCCAACAGCTCTTTGGCAGGTACAGGATACATGGCCACACTTCCTGCTGGAACTGCTAAGAGCACTCCTGGCCCTTGCAGCTTAATAAGGCACTTAATGAGGCTGTGAAAAGACTCTGCTAAACATTCATAAAACATTGAACAGACATAGGGGGAAAAAAAGTAATATCTAAATGCTACATACTCCAAACCACACTCCATTCACTCAGAATTCCACCTGACCAAGATCCCACTCAAACAATGGGATCACTCTGGCACTTACAACAAAGCCAGGACAGTGCACAAACAATTCTATCCATAGTCATATGGCAGAGTTGGCAAACCCTCTGGAACATGCTCTGGGCTGAACCACAAGTGTCCCAGCCTCTAGAAAAGATCTGTCTGTGAATACATGTGTGTGTGTGTATGCATGTGAATGTACATTTACAAACACGCACGAGTGTCTTCCAAAAGCAGACACAACTCTCACTTCCAGCCATAATGTCAGAGTCAGAGAAGAGCACTTATCACAGCTAAAATCAATAGGACCATGGCAGCTTCTCCTCATATAGCTTGGCTCAAGGAAGTGAGATTTGATTATTCAATTGATCAACAAAATCACACATATTGCCAGTTTCCACTGGAACAGTCAAAATCAGTTGCGTAGGTGTTGGTGAATGTCTGGAAGAGCAAAACAGCTTGAGGTCAGCACATGGTCAGCCCAAGCTTGCTTAAAGAGCCGGTGTGCAATGAGCCTGGGTACTGTAAAATATTTAATCTTTCTGGAATTTAGACAACTTCAAAGCATATTAAAACAATCGCTGATACTTTTTACACAAAGAGAAAAAAATCCCAGTTCAGTTCTAGATGTAAACCCCAATGTGACACAGATAAAACATATTAAGTTACACCAATACGTGAGTTACAGACATTGCCTCAGAGGACACTGTCCTCATGGCACACATTAAAGACCTGCCCTATCTGGGAGGTGCCTAATGCACATTAGTGCAAGTACAGCTTAACAGAAGCAATCAACAATCACAGCATCACAGCTTTGGTGATGTACTATTGAGCATTTTTAGCCCATAGTAAAAGGAAAACACAGCCACCATCATACTGATGGAAGCAGAGACACCAGATACACCTTGAGTGGTTTCCTCATAGAAACTGAGGTATATGTTGGCTTCATTGGAAGAGTTTCATTAGTGTGGGTCAGAGTAAAGGCTGTATTCCATCCCATTTCAGGGGTTTCACCCTGGCCCTTGAACTGCTGTTTTGAACTATGCAGCTGTTGTACCCAGAACTGGGCTTTACACACACAAAGCATGCTCAAGAAAAGCCCAACATGTTGCATTTGAAGACAGCTTGACCAGTTGTCATCATATCTCTGAATTTTATAAATTACACTCCCTTGGCTACAAAAGCTGCCATATTTCTGTGCTGCAGCCAACAGAAACCATACTCTGGCACTACTTCACGTCCTTTATGCACGGGACAGATACAGCTGGAAATAAATGACTCTATTGTTTTCCACTGAAACAGCCACATCACAGAAGGCCTCAGTGCATCTGGGAGAATGTGGGTCATTAATTAGGAGTCAATACTGAGCCAACAGGATTTGCAGGGCTCCAAACACTGATGGTGGCAAGCTTTCCCACTAACAGTAACTGCAACTGTAAGAACACCCTGCAAAGCAGAAATCTTTGTTCTCCAACATTCAATAGCCCACATTGTTTTTTTCTTTTCCAATTCCAAGTAGACTAAGCTATTCTCATTACTCCAAGAAAAATTTTTCCCTGCTGCAGGAAACATTGCATACTCTGACCAAAAGGTGCTTATATCTAACCCAAACAGCGACTGACTATGAAACCAAACATCTGGGATGATTAAAGTTACACCACTCAAGTTTGCAAGCTTTTTATTTGCTGCTTTTGAAAAAGCACTTTAATGAAGCAATGCATATGTTCTCAAGCAGAAGGAACTGCTTTAGGTCTTCCGGCAATTTTTTGTCAAGAAGCACATCAAATTCTAGCTAAACCAAACACTACTTCTCCTAAAGACCACATTCACACTACAACCAGAGAGTGTTTACACAGAGTCATCACAGGGGCATCCTTCCCATATGTCATCCTGCTGTATAGATTAAACAAGGGGGTACATGCTGACATGGGCATTTCAGTTGGGGATTAAGAAATATACAAGACACCCTGGCATAACTCAGAGCAAATTTTTGCTTTTTTTTCATATAATCTAACTGTGTGACATAGGCTGTAAAGACACTGAAAAAGACACCACTGGGAAATGTCACTTTTCCAGTGACCATAGCTGTAGGTGCAGGGAGATAGAACACAAATAAATACCTGTTTCCTTAAAATATTGCATCATTCCACCAGGGCTTTACCCACTTATTTTGCTTTGTCCAGATGTTCACTCACAGCTGTCAGTCTATTTATATGAGTGGAAGCAAGAAGCTTGGTTGCCAACGGGTTTGTGTCCCG